TTGGACATACTAGAAACTATGCATCAAGTTAAAAAATAACAATATTAACAGTCTACAACAATTAAATTTCATTGACTGTTACAACTGAAATTTTAAGGTCCTACTTTTATTACCTAGGCAGTACCAGTAATGTCCCTTCCTGCAAGAATGGTCCAGACAAAAGATAAAAAAGAAGGTCTGATAAAGACAGGAAAAGAAAAGGAAACAAAAGATTTTCTCCTTATAAAATGAATATATACAAAAAATGGAAGACAAAGTTAATATTTCATTTTCCCTCCTGGTTGATGAAATAGCTTCTTTCAAACACCCTAATATAATAATAAAGTTTGATATTTCCAGCAAGCTTGAAGCATTGAATCTGGACTTCATGGAGAATGGAGTCCCCGAATAAAATATTCTAAAGATTGTTCTGTAACGCCAAAGGGAGAAGGTTATAAATAGTACAGAAAACCTAATTTCTAATCTCTATTTTTTTTCACATTGGCTATTTCCCCTAAATAATCTCCAGGTAAAAAAAGAAAGAAATCTTTTGGCATGCAAACATAAAGATGGGCATCTGCTTTCAGCTGACAGACTTTGTCCCAGAGTCTTGAGCAGTTCACAGTCAGACAACTCCATTTTTGGATTAGAATGCTGAACGGTCTAGGCCAGGGCTCTCCAACTGGTAGCCCACAGGCCACATGCTGCTCCTGAGGAATTAAACTGTTTTTTTGCTGGTGCTGCCAGAGTCCCCAGGCTCCCTCGCCTTCCTCCAGCTTTCACTACCTGTCCCTACCCCTGAGGCCAGGGTTACTGTGGGGCTAAGAGGGTCCATGCCCAGAGGGCTAGGAGAAATCTAGGGTCCCATGTGCATCCATTCTGGAGTGGCACACCAGGAGTCACCTCCCACAGTAGGGCAGCAAAGATAGCTGCTGGTGAGGGGAACGGGCCATATGGTATGACATGGCACATGCAAGATGCCTCCATGGCACAGCAAGTGTGCTTGGCAAGGGCCATGTGGTGCACTGGGAGAGGTTCAAATACCATATCAGGAGCCTATGTGGTGTGGCAGAGGGGTCTCTCAGGGCACACCTGAGAGACCCCTCTGAGACATCATGGGCAGCATGAGGTCCATGCAACATGCAGCCTAGAGGCTCCCAGCTTGTCCTCAGTCACTCAGAAGTTGGATAGCCCTGGCCTAGGATATATAGACTGCTATTTTTAAAATAGGAAAGAACTAAGGTTTATTAACCTGATGTGTGTAGAGTTGTCTCTTGGATCACATCCAATTTCCTTGAGTCCTGGGACTCCAGATGGGTATTCTGTCTCATGAGACAGAGACTGACATCCATGGTTAGGATTCATCAATCTGTTCTTTGGTAAAGTAGAACCTCCACTACATTTGTTACCTGGAGCAGATTGGCTCCGTGGACTGGCAATGGGAGAAAGATGCTGGTCTAAATTCAGATCAGATTAGTAGTAACTCATCTTAAAATAGGCCAAGGACTGAACCAATGCAGTGTGGAGACTGAAGTGATGATGATGATGCTCAGTATGTATACATTTTATATCGGCAAATTCTATACAACTATAAATTAATCAATACACCCTTTCATGTTAGGTCAAGACAGAGGGATCTCAGTAGAATCTGTAGTACAGAAACACTGAGCACATTCCAGCTCTAGAGATGTTACTAGTTGAAATATATGGAATATAGCAGGAAACAGAATTAAATTAAGTGTACCTAATTAAGATAGAGGACTTTAGGCTCCACAGCTGCCAGTCTAATACCCAAACTCCAGAAGAACACATTTCCCTTCCAATATAAAATGGAATTGCTTAATTCACTTGTCACTGACAACTTTACTATCAAGGAAGCAAATTAAAATTCTTTGTAGTTCTTGACCATCAGGGTCCTCCTTACAGAATACATGGCAGCAACAACCTGAAAATGAATCTTACCCACAGAATTGCATCGAATTAATATATATGTAAGCATACAGATGAAGGTCCCTTGGATGTGGCATTGCTAAGAGTAAGGAATTTCTAGATAGTTGATAGGATCTTTTTGGATCCTCTCCCAAATATGTTTGGAATAATTCCATAAGATTGTTTAAACAGTCAAGATGATTAAAAGGATTTTTGAACCAAACTCTGCAGAAAGAATGTGAAACATCTGTATAGATCTCAAGCACAGAAGGCCTGCAAGTTTGTCAGAAGAACACAGTTTCTGCAAAACTGAAATTTTCCACTGCAAAAATTCTCAGATGGTGCACCTACACATGCACTAATGTGCCTTTTCTAATGTGCATTAAATTTAGTACCTCCAATGTGAAGTACTAAATTAATGTGCAGTAATGCATTTGCATACTTTTTGGGGGATGCTTCATGCACAGTACACTATTTTACTGAACATTACCATAATGTCACAGTTTTTTAAATGACACTTTAATGCACAGTAAAATGGTCTACTGTGCATTAAGGTGCACATGTAGATTGCCCAGTTTTACTGAAAATTTTCAATTTTCCACCAGTTCAGTCTGAAGTATTATATTTTGCTAAAGTGATCAAACATATTTTAGTACAATTCAATTAAATAAAACACTAACTTGGCTTTCCTTATTAATGCACTGCCACCTGGGATTTGTCTTGTGGACCCTACTCTCTCTATACGCTAACCTTCTGGAAGGTCTCAGTCTCCCAAAGTGCAATGCCGATTCCCCTCTACCCAAGCTCTGCAAGGTACATAATGAAATTATGATGGCAGAGTGCATAACAGGAAAGGCAATCTGGCTCACAGAAGAATGGCTTCCATAAAATAAAGTGCTATAGTAGTAAAAAAAAAAAAAAGAGTAGTTTGTTGTTAAAAAGGTTTAAGATGAAGCATTTGTATCATTTAATAAAAAACACAATGAAACATTTTGATGCTGAGAATGCCGAAATGCATGGTGATTAAAAATCTCTCAAAACACAATATTTTAGCATTTCCAAATCAATGTTTTGGAGGGATTTATGTTTCATGACAAAATTTCACATTTCAACATTTTGCCCAAATTTGGCACAAGCAAACATTGATGTTAACATTTTTTAAATGTCATACAGTTCTAATTCCAGACTCATTAATTCTTTTGTGAATCTAATATGATTTCTCTCGTAATATGGGAGGTTTTAAAATAATGATTCTGCAAAATCCATGGGACATGCTCCAAAGATCTCTCAAAGAATTCATCAACTTTAAAGGACAAAAAAATTAAATATTCAGCCTGTGTCAAATAGCTGCTTATGAGAAGTTCTCCCAAACACAATTAGCTGAAGAAAGTCTTGAGCCGTATCTTGAAAGATGAAGTTCACAAAGCTGACAGAGGCTCAAGCTTATCAGAAAACCAAGCTTGTAGGCACCAACGACTTTCAAGAGCTAGATAAATTAATCAAAAGAATTCAGCCTGCCATTCTAGTTAAGCCTTGCATGCATGCTCATGGGGATATTCAAGAAGTAATCATTTAAGAGTTTTTCAAGGTATTCATTAGCTATTTTATCCAAAGCAGATTATGGAGCAGCATTGCTCTGAACTGGAAGGAACAAGTTCTCTGTTGACTAATGTAGAGTTCACTGAGGATATAGCACTCTATGATCTTTGAGAGAAAGATGGAAATAGATGCAAGAAATTTACCTCATGTTGAAGGTTTTATTTTATCAACATTTGGAGCATCCTGATATAATGCAACGTTTCCTCAACCGAGTACACAGGAAATAGAGTGGTCCTGTTCTCAGAGCAGCAAGTCCTGCATTGAAATGCCTGGCACCTGCAAACACTGAGCACACGCAGCACATTAAGGCCTCTATGAAGTAATATATGCTGAAACATCTACATTCACTGGGAAGTTCAGACATGAATACTACCTGGATGGCAAATAAAGCCTGGGAATAAGGCACTGGGGGGAAAAAAAAGGAGGTGTTAAAAATCCCAATCGTTGCTATTGCCTGTCAATGGAAGAATTTAGATTTAGGACCTCTAAGAGCAAGGAGATAGGATTATGCTTTTGTCACATAAGAATTAACAGATGGTATAAAAAGGAGAAGCTTTAAGTATTCAAGACTAGGTATGTGGGAAATGTGTGCAAAAAGAGAATTCTGCAATTTAGTCCAATCATACTCTCCTGGACGTGCCAGTGGCATGCCGCTGCTACTTGTGGGTCAGCAGGATCAGCTGTGAGGGGACCCTTGCCAAGGTCGCTGAATGTCCACTGCGGGGACAAGTGCCCCCTCCCAACTCAAGAGGCACCAGTTGCCAATGTTATAAAGCCTTATGGAACCTGCCTCAAATCCCACAAAGCCTTGCATTGTAGCTGATGGATTGTATCTTTAATCATAAATAATCTGAATCAGGAAGAACTGTATCTTTCATCATTTTATACAAATGAAAGAAAACACCAGTAATTACACTTCAGATACAATTACAATTTTCAGATCGTTCATTTCCTTACAATACATCTCTTTAAGAAAAATAGCTGACAAGGCAAGAGTCCAACTTAATTCATTCTGTACCATGCCTGCAAAATTATAAATTTTAGCTATAGGAACTTAATAGCATGTCTTGTTTTAGCTTTAATAGAAATTGGGCAGCTCACTCCCTACAGGGATCACACAAGATGTGCCCCTATATGTTTGCTAATACTTGTGTTGTTGTGGTTCATTTACCTCTTCAGAAGAGATTGCAGAATGTATTTAGACCACTGCTGCAAAAAGAACTACAAAAAGGCTCACAAATACAAAAACAGGTAGTGACAAACAATCATTCGGCTCAGCACTAACATAAAGGAATGCTGCATCAAGGAAATTACAAATGACATCCAGCTTATTAGTGTGCTTTCCTACTACTTAGCAGCCAGAGGCAGATACACCAAGACATGCAATTTTTGTTGACGATGCCAAACTTGCTCAGTACCAGTCACAGAATCACAAGGAAAATACCAAATGTTTAGTTGTAAATCAATAAAAAGAAACATTCAGCATTGCTTACCTGATTTTCTTCATGGGAAACCCTCATCTGCTCTTTAAGAACTGACATTCTCGCTGCTTCTTCTTTCCTCAAAACTCTTTCCTTTTTTAGCTCAGGACTCCAGAAAGTTTTGATGCTGTTCATGGAAGATCCCAGCTTGCTGTCCTTGATGTCCAGTTCTTTTCTGAGAAGATCATTCTCCCTTTGTAGTTCCTTAAGTTGAGCCTGTAGATCTAGCATCGTACTGTCCCTAACCTGTCTCAGCATAGAAGGAACCTGATGATGGTGATGATGTGAAGATGTAGTCAGACCTCCATGCTGATCAGTATAAGAAAGTACATCTGTGTGGGAAAGACCAGCTGAAGCAATATTAGGACTGCTCCCCATAGCTGTGACACGACCACCATACACAGCTCGATTGGTAGCCCTTCCAAGAGTCATTGTGCCCTTTGGGAAAGTAGTAGAAGCTACACCTTCATGATCACTCAGATACATCGGTCCAGATGTTGCATAGGCTGCATTAAGGGACTGTATGTTCTCCATTGATAGTGTCTTACCTGTTCCTCCTCCTCCCCCACTGTTTGTCCGTCTATGGCCCAAACGAGGAGATCTTGGCAGACGAGGAGACCTGGAGGGACTGCCTTCCAAGTTACTGATTGTTCTTGCACTTCCATACATTTTTCTTCTACTTTGAGGTACTATTTAATAAGAAATTAGTAATGCTAAGATTGGATATTGAATCTAAAATACCAGCTAATAATGTTGGCAAATGGATTCACTGCATTCTTCCACAAGGCAAAAATTGATGATTCTTCCAAATCAAAGATCTGGGGGGGAAAAAAGAGAAGTAATTTTTTTTTTCCTACATCAAAAAGTATCTTTACAGTAAGTGATTGAAATGAATCAGAAAACACAGCATATGGCAACTGATTTAAAAATACTACCTTTAAAATGAGGTTAATACTAGGCACATCTACATGAGACCCTTACTGTGCAGTTGCCTAATAACACTGCGCAGTAGCGTGCTGGTCAAAAACCATGCTAATATGCTACTGCACAATGTTACTAGGCAGTAAGTATCACAAGAAAACCATGCGCCAGCACTACTGCACAGTAACTGTAGTTACTGCACATTTAGTTAGTACTTCATTAAGCAAGTACTGAACTAAATGCGCAGTAATTACTATGCATTAATCAACGTGTAGATGCGCTCACTGTTTTTTTACACTTAGGGTTGCTGCCTCAAAATTTCCATTTTAAAAGCATTTCAAGCAGAACAAGCAATATTCATTTCTTTCTCCTTGTAAATTTTCTTGATGTTTTCACTTAATCTAAAGAAGATTAAAACTTAAACAAATACTATGGGGCATGTGTTCCTGGTATATTGCCTTCAATGATATTAATATACTCAAATGAATGACTCCATTGGAATTACACCAGGAATGATATTACTTGGTGTCTACACCTGAACAAAAATCAGAGATCAAGAATATATTTGATTGGCACAGCCAATATAAAAAAAGAAAGTTAGCATATCTGGCTTTTTTTAAAGCAGTATCAGCTGTATAATTACACAGATGATAGGGACAGGCTAAAGGCTTCTTTGAATGGAAGGGCTAATAGATACTGATTCTGTTAATAGATATCGATTCTGTTCTGTTTCAAGATTTAAAATAAGACTGAATTAATTTCAGAGAATATTGTCTTCTGGACAATTACATACTATTATTACAAATAATACTTCCAATGTACACCACAGACTTGCTGGTATGTGTTGTTTGCCTGTATCAGGGAACAAAGTATATTGCAAATATTCAATTATTTCATTAAGAAAATGAGAGCCTGTCAAATACTCTTTTCCGCTTTTGGTGTCACAGTGGTATTTCGATGGCAGGTTTACCCTCATAATTTATTTAAATAAACAGGACAATTGAAGTTATTCAGAATTGATAACCAGCAATAATGCATAATAATATTGAAAATTTGTGATAGTAATATTGAGCATCTCTTCAATAGTAGCTTGATGTTCTCCAGGGGTTTTCCTGTACCGGTACTATTTAATATCTTCATTAATGATTTCGGAGGATGGGACAGAGTACACAGTTAGCAAATTTCCAAATAAAACCAAGCTAGGTAGGGTTACAGACATTTTGGAGGGTAGAATTAGGATTCAAAATGATTGTGATAAGCAGGAAAAGTGATCAGAAATTAATCAAATGCAATTAAATCAGTAGAAGTGTAAAGTCCTGTGCTTAAGATAGAACAATTACATGTACAAATGTAGACAAAGGAATAACTGGCTGGGCTTCAGTACTTTAGAAAAGGACCTAAGGGGTACTGTCAACCATAAGCTGAATATAAGTCAACAGTGTACTATTGTTACAAAACAAAACAAACAAACAAACAAACAAAAGTAAAAAGCCAATAGCAGATAGTGGGCTGTGTTCATAGGAGTGTCACTTGTAAGTAAAGGGAAATGATTTTTTCACTCTACTCAATATCAGTGGGGCTTCACCTTGAGTACTACGTCCAATTTTGGGGCACCACAGTTTAAGATATAGACAAATTAGAAGGAGTCTACTAGACAGCAACAAACATGATTAGGGGGCTAAGAAACATGACTTACAAAAGAAGGTAGGTAGAACCAGCATTATCTAGTCTGAAAAAAAGAGAAGATTGAGAGGGGATTTAATAATAATCTTCAAGTAACTGAACAGCGGTTGTTAAAATGATAGAGAAAGACTATTCCCTGTAGCAGCAAGGAACAGGACAAACTGCAACAGTGGAAATTTAGGTTAGATATTGGGAAGAACATTCACACAATGAGGATGGTTAGGCATTGGAACAAGCTAACTAGAGAGGCTGTAAAATCTCCATCCTTGGAAGTTCTTAAAAGGTTAGACAAAGATTTGTTTGGAATGGTTTTGAGCAGGTGTTTGGACTTGACGTTGTGCTGGGGCTATCCACCTTATTTTACTATGATTCCATTATTTTAACATTTATCACCTATAAAAGACTCTAAGATAAGGGCTACTGATTTTTTTAAACAAATATAATTCTTACAAGAAATCAGTGACATTGATATAGTGGTGATAACTAAAAAAGACCTAAAAACATGTATTTAAAATTAGCTCAGAACAGCAGCAGAGAATCTAATTCATTAAAGTCCAGTAACTTGAATCATTTCTCCAAGATGTTATCATCATTACATACAGATACCCTATCCTGGTATTAACTGTTCATTCTATATTTGTAAAGGAGTACTGATAAGTTCGGCACCATGAACTATTTCAATCTGAAAAACAGCTAGCATCTTAAACCATTACCCCTATGTTTTAATGATTTTTGCATATACTATCACTACTAATAATCATTATTAGTAATAATCAGTAACAACCAACTATATAAACAAATAAAGATTTTTAAAAAATCAACCCTCACTTGTGGTGACACCTAGCCTATACCTATATTTGGTAAATGTACCATTACTGAAAGCTTTCTAATTTCTGATAACACTTGTGAAACTCCCTTGATCTTACAAATGTGTTCCAGATGGTATACAGAGGGTGCATGCAAGCATTCAAATCAACTAGTGGAAGTTTAGCAGTTTAGTTTAAGCAGCTGGAAACTCTACTGGTAGAACACTGTACAAGCATTCAGAAGATGGGATGCATGCTCAAGGGACACCAAAGCATACATCCCAGCATGTTTTACAGACTTCCCAATCTACCTGGAGACAGCTAACAGCGGCCAAGGGCACAGGTCAAGTCTGACTAGCTAGTCACCTCTGGGGACCATGTCCCTCCCTCTTCACAACACCCACTTCTCTTCCTCTCACCTATCATACTTTCAGGTAGGAAAGGCTGCCAGTTTCTGCTTTGGCAGCCTGCAGTGGATCCCAGCCCCTCTGGTATCAGCCAATGAACCTAGTTCCAGTGCAGGTTGGGTAAGTCTGGTTGGCATCAGGTGCTGGCAGGTTGGGAGCTGGAGGCTCCATTCCTGGAAAGGATCAGGTCAGACTAGTTGGCAAGGAGAGATATGTTTAGTGGTAGGGCTTTGCCCACAGAGATGCTGGGGCTACCCGCACCCTGGGTCTTAACCCCAGTGGGATTGCAAACACAGGGCTCTAGATAGGCCTTGCAAGGGAGATGTTCTGCCCCGCTTGGCACTTTAAAGGCAATGCCTGCAGGCTTACATGTGGGCACAAGGCTCTGTACGTGCCCCTCAGTGGAGTCTGGCATGTGGTTTTCTCCCCTACTTCTGCTAACTACTGAACTCTGACCCAGACTGTTTTTGGGACTGAACAAGCAGGGTTTAGAAGCCAGGAAACTGATTCAAGAGGAAATCCAGAGCCAGAATCCAGGGACAGAGCCAAACTATGGTCAGGAACCAGAAAATCAGAATACAGGAACCAGGAGGCTCACCTGAGCAGAGCTGAGACAGTACTGTTGGCTAACCTAGAGAACAGGGTCACAGATGGAACTAAATGCATAGCTGTACTCTCAGCCACCAATCAGAAAGCCAGCCAGAGAATTAGCTAGAACTGTCAGAATTAGAACTGTCAGTCAAAACTACAGGCAGGTGTGGTCACCTAGGCCATTAGCCCAGGCTGGCCTGACTGATTCAATTTCCAGTAGAGCTAGATGCCCTTTCCCTATTTAATTTTTTACAATATTCTTGCCTCCCATAAGTATCTGAGTGTTCCAACTTCTCACCCCCACAATACAGTCAAAGTCCAGCCTCCCCAATACAAGACAATGATCCTACTAGTGTATCCTGGTGCAGTGTTTCTCAAACCGCGATACGCATTCCCTTGGGGGGTACGGGCAGGGTGGAGGGTACACAAGTGCCACGTTTGACCCCCCGTGGTTTGGAGGCATCTTTGCTCGTTCAGGCCGGAAGTTCTGGCCGCCGCCACCCCTCCTGCCGCATCCGGTGTGCCGGGGCTTTCGCTCCCTTGCGTCAGCGTGCCAGGGGACAGGGAGAAGGGCCCCACGCAGGCTGCTTTGCCCCAGGCCATGGTCCGCAATGAAAAAGTGGGACTTGGCTCACAGCGGCAAAACCGGAACTGGCATGGTGGGACTTCCGGTTTTGCTTTTGCTGTGTCGATTGGCAGGTAGTACATAAGGTACCAAAGGTCGAGAACCACTGTCCTAGTGGATACAGAGCTTTTCAGCCATCCCAGTTCCAGGGATTCAGTTAAGGCCATTGAACGAAGAATACATAAGACCTCATGGCAGCTGGGGTTGAGGATGATACGATTCTTCAGAAATGCTCAACCATCTTATTCTAATCAAATAATTTTACATGTAACACTGTCTAAGGACTCTTTCCTTGACTTTCTGTACTTCCTGCAAGAGCTCTGTAGGTGTAACTTTTGTTGCCCTTCATCAAGCCTGGTTACTTGGTTTCTCAGAGGGCATTCTACCTCTTTGAATAGCACTCTTGAAATTGACAGGTTCTAATCAAGCCAGAAGCCTTGGACTTGATGGCTCCTACTCAGTTTCCCTGATTATGCACTTGGAGTACAATTATATTATGAAGTAGAGAATGGGACTAAGAATTACACAATTTATTCCATTAACCCAGGGGTTATCAACCAGGGATATGCATATCCCTTTGGAAGGTCCCATGGGGTATGCAGGTGCAGGCGGGGACAGAGCACCACCACCCTGCACCACTGCCTCACAGAAGCAGGGCTG